GGATGAATCTAGAAACCATCATTCTCAGCAAATTGACACAACAACAAAAAATGAAACACCGCTTGTTCTCACTCATAGGCAGGTGTTGAATAACGAGAACACATGGACACAGGGAGGGGAGCATTACACACTGGGGTCTGTTGCAGGGGGGACAGGGGAGGGACAGCGGGGGGTAGGGAGGTTGGGGAGGATAACATGGGGAGAAATGCCAGATATAGGTGACGGGGGGATGGAGGCAGCAAACCACATTGCCATGTAGGTACCTGTGCAACAATCCTGCATGTTCTGCACACGTACTCCAGAACCTAAAGTGCAATTATATATATATATATATATATGAAAGATATATTGGGTATAATGTACATTATTTAAGTGAGGGATGCACTAAAATTGCAAACTGCAGCACTATACATTTAACCCATATAACCAAAACCACTTGTACCCCTAAAGCTATTGACATAGAAATAAATAAAAAGAAAAAAAGAATTAATGAAGCTAAATAAAAACATTAGTAATTAACAGCAAAAGCAAAAATATGACACTATCAGAAAATATTTTTCAACATGAGAAACAAGTGAAAAAATTGGAAAGAAAAATGAAAAATTTTCACAAATTATTGAATTTGGCAGTTAGCATTATTCCCTAGCAGATTACATTTTTATCCAAAAAAGTACCTATTGAGATTTGAATCTGAGTTTTCAGCCAAGTGGAATCAACATTTATACATCCTCAAATTCCAAAGCCACACAGAGCACATGTTTAAACATGTGCATCTCATAGGACCCTGAGTCATATGCAGAGAATTGAAGGTCATAACATTTGGTAAATTGAGCAAAACAAAAAGTTTTTATTGGAGATGTGGAAACTGGCTGAACCAAAGAGACAAGGATGCATAAGGAAAGGAGGGTTTAGATGAATTACTAAGTTATATAAGGGTACATTTGGTCTCATACACAAAAGTTATGATGGAAGGAGTACTTGAAGTTGAATTAGAACTTTATTTTTGTACTTCGGTATGCATGAAAACGGTTCCTAAGTTCTACAAAATGCTTATCTCAAACGAAGTGCTCGGTCACCCTGAAAAAATAATTGACACCTTCAAGTCTCAAGTTAGTCAGCTTGACCTGATGAAATCATTGAAGAATTTGTTACCCAGAGTTTGTAAAAGCAGGAAAAACAGACATCTCACTATATTATAGAACCATACTGATTTCTGGATGTCTTATACATTATAAATATAAATTATATGTACTGATGGACTTAGCAAATTTAAGCATTAAACTGTTGAAAGTAAGCATTTTAGAGTAGTGTCTTCAGAAATATCAATCCAGTAGCCCCTATTTCCATAGCAACTCAGCCTTTATAGGAGAAATTGCTACTTAATTATTCTTGCTGGAAAAACTTATTATTTGGAAAAGTTATCTCTGGGCCAGTGGGATGAAGGCTAATTCTTAAGAGAACAGGAGAAGAAACAGAAGGTCTGTCTATATTCCTGACTGAAAGGCAGGAAGTAGCAGGGTGACTTTTCCTCTTGATTTTTATCCCAGTAATTACATGTTTACAAGTTGTTCAGTTGTTCATTAAAGATACAGAATGGTCTCTTTACATATATAAGTAAATATTTCTATACCACCAAAGATGAAAATTAATACTCAAAGAAGCTTTTTAAAAAAAACCTCTCCCCGATTTGTGGGACTTTGCCTACAAATTATACCTTCTGCCTGGTTTTACTTTTACAAAGTTCATGTGATGCATCCAGCAGTGAAATGAAATACTTTTCTGTCAGCTGTTCTGTGGAGGGATGAGGCCTTCCTCTTCAATGGTAATCATGTGTTGCTTGATTCTGAGCACCAGATTCACTAAAAATGCTTTAGTGTCTCATTTCTTCTATATAAATTTGCACAGTAGCTGAAGAAAGCCTTAAAAAGATATAAACCTTTGTGTTTAATTTTGATGTCAGTAAAATGTAGAACCATTAAGGGTAAACACTATAGGGAATAAACATCTAGGCAGTTCAATTTCACACATAACCAAAATAGAGCAATAGATATTTAGTAATTTTTTTTAACAAATTAAGAAAATGAGTAAACTTCTGAGATTTATAGATTTTCAGAAGTCCTTCTTTCTTATTCTCCCTGGAAACAGGAGAAACAGCTCAGAAAAATCAGTGAGTTTCTTACAATTCTCTGTTCCCTTCTCTTTCCAATTTAATATGCTCATAATTGTTCAGCAAATATTCTGAAGTGCAAATCCCAGTTTTTGACAGCTATAAATGCTCTGTGAATTCCAGTCTTCCCTGTGTAATTTTTTCTTCAGGGTTACATTGCAGAGGAAATGTCAAATAGTTCTTTGACACAGCTGTTTTATTCCAAAGTTCAGTTGTGAATCCTATGATTAGCCTTAAAGAATTGTTTAGCCATTTGGCTCTATCTTAGAAACGGTTGCCCTCTGCCTGGTAAAAACTGCTTGCCAAGTTGCTCGTAGGAGCCAACTCGATTTAAGTTTTGCCGTTAAAGGAAGCTATCTGGAACCTGACTATCACGGGGGAAATGGAGGAGGGTATCACTCCCATTGAACAAAGAAGACAAAAAGTGTTTATTTCCTTTCATGTTGATTAAATTTTAAGGGAAATGTTAAAATGGAGAATATGAAAAACAGAACTTTGGTCCCATATGTTCTCCTTGCCTTGTCCTGTAAATGTGAAAACCCTGTGTGAACTGGTAGCCTTCAAGACCTCCCATAGCAGGAACTGAAACAATCTAAAATTAGATGTTTCCCCATTAGACTAATGGGGAAAGTTGCTGGGGTTATTAAAAAATGTGCTTTTGTTTGTTTTCTTTTGTGTCACTAAGTAAATGCTATAAATTGTTAAGTCAAAAGTTCTGGGATGCTTCCAAAAGACAACTCCCTCTTATACTGAGCACAGATTCCAGGATAATTATGGACAACTAATAGGAATTTATGAAGGAGAAGAACACGCATCACAGTAAACTAGTTGTGTTAAAGGAACAAGTGAACAGACAGAACTACCACTTAAGGAAAAAAAAATGAGATTTGTGCAATGATAAGGGGCAGAGAGTAACAAACAATAATAGTTGAGACGTTACTGAAAAAAATATTTACAACATGTACCATTTTGAGAGTAAGAATGAGAGAAAGAACTAAAACTAAGAACCTCAGTGAGTTCTTGCTTCTGGACAAAATCCCTAGCCTTCAGTCATAAACTCAAACCTGACTTATTACCAATTCAATAACACCTTTCCTAAAACTACCCCTCATCCTTGTAGAACAAACAAATCTACTCTCTGCAGTTCCTTTGCACAGAATATGCATTTCTGTTTCATGTTTATATAAGTGGACAGATGACATTCAATTATGCATATTAAAAATAATTATTGATCCCATTCCATTTACCAGGAAAATGTACCAGGGTCTTGGTTAATGCCAGTGCAATGATACCGACACAGAGGGTTTTACTAGCTAGTGGGGGAGATGGATAATAAATAAATAAATACATTTACGAAGAAAGGGCTGATAGTTTATTAATTTGACAAACTGGTGCCACATTTCAGATAGAATTAGGAGACTGAAGAATGCAAAAATGTATGATTGGGAGAGAAGGGGACAGAACGGGCTGGTGAAAAGATGGTGCTGGACAGAAAAGCTAACACTTGACATAAGGGGCCTGAATGCCAGGCCAAGGAGTTAGACTTGATTTTCTAGGCCAGAATCTCAATTGGTAGGGAATCAGAAATCTCTATATTAACAAGGTCTCGGGATGATTCATATGCTAAACTACCCAGCCTAATCAAATAAAAGGACCCTTTGGCCATTATCAGAGATCAATAGGATAGTTTATAGATTATTTTCCTAATATGATATAGCATTATTATTGCCTTCTATTCTTAGAATTATTTGTTATTAAAGTTATATCAGTAATTTTTAAATTGAAGCAAGAAACTGTCATTTTCATAGGTCACATATTCAAATATCAGTAGTTAACATATGTTTCAATCTAGCTACTAAAATTTCATGAGTATTTAAAGAGAATAACATCACATATTTTAGGGCTTTCATACTCGGGACCTTAATTATTTAACATGTGAGCTTTATCACAGACCCTTCGAAAATTAGGTCTTAATGAATCAATGTATTTAGTGCCCATTCATGTATCTCACTAACATTAGTTGAGTGCCCAATAGAGGGGTCAGGTTTAGCTATAGACTCTAGAGATACCACAATGAAGGTGGCAAAATGTTTGTAGTCAGAAAGCTTATATTAATGGCCTAAAAGATGTTTTTAAAGTGATCTTCCACTATACTTGAAGTAGGAAAACCTAGATTCTAGTTTGTCTGGGCCCTAAATTTGCTGATTTATTTGAGAAAAATATCCAGATTTTTGATCCATGACATAAAAATATTTATAGGTACTTTTACATAATCTCTAAATATCTCTACACATAAAATTTTAAGCTTCTAATTTTCTGCATATTTCATCAAACCTCCAGGCTTTTCTCAGACATTTATACCATTTATTTTTAACACCTTACTTCACAATATCTTTATTTGCATTTTGTTCATTCACCTTATAGTATAGTTCTTACAGTTCTATTTTATTACTTCTTTTATTATTTTTGTCAATTTTTACAAATTGTCAGATAAAATTGTATGTAGTATCATGTACAACATGTTTCAAAGTGGTGTACATTGTGAAATGACTAAATCTAGTTACTTATCATATGCATTCATTCACATAGCTATAATTTTTGTGGTGAGAACTCTTAACATCTACTCTCTCAGCATTTTTCAAGAATTCAATATATTAGTAATCATCATATTGTAATACATAATAGTATCACAATAAAGCTCTTGAACTTATTCCTCCTGTATAACTGACTTTTATATCCTTTGACCAACATCTCCCCAGAACCCTTCCCTCAACTGCCCCAGCCCCTGGTAACACCATTCTACCCTCTGCTTCTATGATATAATCTTTTTCATATTCTACATATGAGTGAGATAATGTAGTATTTGTCTTTTTGTGCCTGGCTTATTTCACTTAACATTATATCCTCTAGATTTCATATCTTAAAATTTGTGGACTCATACAGTAAATATGTATGAGTATTTACTGCATGAATCCAGAAAATGGAATCATACAGTAAATACCCCTGACAAATGTATTTACTGTATAAGCCCATTTTCGCACTGCTGATAAAGACATATCTGAGACTGAGCAATTGACAAAAGAAAGGTTTACTGGACTTACAGTTCTACACTGCTGAGGAGGCCACACAATCATTGCGGAAGGCAAGGAAGACCAAGTCACATACTACGTGGATGAGGCAAAGAGAGAGTCTGTGTAGAGAAACTACCATTTTTAAAACTGTCAGATCTCATGAGACCCAATCACTATCACAAGAACAGCAGGAGAAAGACCCACCTCCATGATTTAATCATCTCTCACTGGGTCCCTCCCACAACACCTGGGAATTATGGGAGCTACAAGATGAGATTTGGATGTGGACACAGAGCTAAACCATACCATTCCACTCCTGGCCTCTCCCAAATCTCGTATCATCACATTTCAAAATTAATCATGCCTTCCCAACAGTCCCCCAAAGTCTCAACTCATTTCAGCATTAATTCAAAAGTCCACAGTCCAAAGTTTCATATGAGACAAGGCAAGTCTCTTCAGCCTATGAGCCTTTAAAATCAAAGGCAACTTAGTTACTTCCCAGATATAATGGGGGCATAGGCATTGGGTAAATTCCAAAAAAGAGAAATTGGACAAAACAAAGGTACTACAGGCCTCATGTAAGTGTAAAATCCAGCAGGGCAGTCAAATCTTAAAGCTCCAAAATGATCTCTTTGACTCCATGTCTCACATCCAGGTCACGCTGATGTCAGAGATAGGATCCCATAGTCTTGGGAAGTTCTGACCCTTTGCTTTCCATGGTATAGCCTTCCTCCCAGCTGCCTTCATGAGCTGACATGGAGTGTCTGTGGATTTTGCAGGCCCATGTGGCAAACTGTCAGTGGATCTACCATCCTAGAGTCAGGAAGATGGTGGCCCTCTTCTCACAGCTCCACTAGGCAATGTCCCAGTAAGGACTCTGTGTGGGGCCTCCCACTCCACATTCCCCTTCTTCACTGCCTTAGCAGAGGTTCTCCATGAGGACCCTGCCCCTACATCAAACTTCTGCCTGGGCATTTACCCATTTCCCTGGATCTTCTGAAATTTAGGCAGAGTTTGCCAAACCTCAATTCTTGACTTCTGTACACTCACAGGTTCAACACCATGCACAAGCTGCCAAGGCTTGAGGCTTGCACCATTTGAAGCCACAGCCCAAGCTCTACATTGGCCTCTTTCAGCCATAGCTGGAGCAGCTGGGATGCAGAGCACCAAGTTCCTAGGCTGCACGTAGCACACAGACATTTTCCCCATTGTCTTCGGGATTAATATTTGGCTTCTCATTACTTATGCAAATTTTTGCAACTGGCTTGAATTTCTCCTCAGAAGATGAGATTTTCTTTTCTGTTGCACTATCAGGCTGCAAATTCTCCAAACTTTTATGCTGTATTTCCCTTTTGAAACTGAATGACTTTAATAGAACCCAAATCACCCCTTGAATATTTTGTTGCTTAGAAATTTTTTCCACCAGATTCCCTAAATCATCTCTCTCAAGTTAAAAGTTCCACAGATCTCTAGGGCAGCGGCAAAATGCCACCAGTCTCTTTGCTAAGGCATAACAAGAGTCGCCTTTGCTTCAGTTCCCAAGAAGTTCCTCATTGCCATCTGAGAGCACCTCAGCTTGTACATTATTGTTCATATCACTACAGCATTTTTGTCAAAGCCATTCGCCAAGTCTCTAGGAAGTTCCAAATTTTCCCACACTTTTCTGTCTTCTTCTGAGCCCTCCACACTGTTTCAGCCTCTGCCTGTTACCCAGTTCCAAAGTTGCTTCCATATTTTTGAGTGTCTTTTCAGCAATGCCTGATTCTACTAGCACCAATTTACTGTATTAGTCCATTTTCATTGTACTGATAAAGACATACATGTGATGAAACTGAGCACTTTACAAAAGAAAGAGGTTTATTGGACTTACAGTTCCACATGGCTGGGGAGGCCTCACAATTGCGGTGGAAAGCAAGGAGGACCAAGTCACATCTTAAGTGGACGGCAGCAGGTGAAGAGAGAGCTTGTGCAGAGAAACTCCTGTTTTTAAAACCACCATCAGATCTCATGAGACCCGTTCACTATTACACGAACAGCATGCGGAAGACTGGCCCCCACGATTCAGTCACCTCCCAACAGGTCCCTCCCACAACATGTAGGAATTGTGAGAGCTACAAGATGAGATCTGAGTGGGGACACAGAGCCAAACTGTATCAATTACCTAGTATTTAATTCTTTCTTCTTATAACTGAATTTATAGACCTTATATAAGACAGAAAGCAAATTAAGGCATTGCTCTATTGTTTAAGGTTTACAATTTCTGGATGTTCCTTCGTGAAAGCCTTATAGGAGCAAATGGAGAATCATAAGAAACTGTGCTCTACTCTCTATGAAAAATACTTCCTTGACTTAAATAAATTATGTTTTCTTTCAGCTTAATAGTTCCAAAGCACAAAGGAAAGAAGAAAAAAAAGAGAGAAAAAGAAAACAACGTTGGTTTCAAATATTTATGGAGCATACTAGTTTTGAAATGAGACTAACTGTTCCATAGAACTGATATTTATGGCTTTTTTGAATAAACATAGAAATTAATCTTCCCAGTGTTAAAACTTGAGAGATACATTTGTCTTACCTGAGTTACCGTCTCAGGAAACTGGCCATCAGGCCTCCCACATTATACCACAGGGCTGAAACTTACCAGATCAATGCTTCTAGACAAAGAGATGCCAAACTTTTCACCCAACATGCTTGCACCACCTGCTGTCAGTTGACCAACTTCTCTGCCTAGCCCATCTTTAATTTTCATTTCCCCACATATGACTTCATGTCTTCCCTGCTATATAAACCTCTGATTTTAGTCAGTGAGGGAGATGGATTTGAGACTGACCTCCCATCTCCTCAGCCACAGCACCCAGTTAAAGCCTTCTTCCTTGGCAATACTCATTGTCTCAGTGATTGGCTTTCTGTGTGGTGAACAGCAGGACCTAGACCAAATCCCCAGTATTTTGGTAACAGTTTTATTTATTTTTTAACCTAGTCTTCAATTTAAGGCATTTAAATTAAGAATTCTTAAGTTATATATTAAAATACTGTTAAGAATAATTTTTAAAAATGTAAAATACAGTGAAGAATAAGCAAATGGCTAATTACTGTGACTGTTTTCTTAAAATAACTGGCAAGAATATAAGAGAGGCAAGATAGGAAATTATCTGTAGCAATAAATATGCTCATTCATTCATTTATTTTCTCACTGATATTGACCTTTAGTTAGGAATGCAGTCAGATAGCCAACAAATATGTTTTAAGGATCACCTTAGAGGCTCTAGAAGTGATAAAGATTTTAAAAGTATTTTAACTATTTTTAAAGACCATGTCAGGATGGGCATGGTGGCTCACTGTTTTAATCCCAGCAGTTAGAGAGGCTGAGGCAGGTGGATCGCTTGAGCCCAAGAGTTCGTGATCATCCTGGGCAACATGGCATAACCCTGTCTCTACAAAAAATACAAAAATTAGCCGGCCATGGTGGTACAACCCTGTAGTCTCAGGTACTAGGGAGGTTGAGGTCAAAGGATCACTTGAGCCCAGGAGGTCTAGGCTGCAGTGAGCTGTGAGTGTATCATTGCAATCCAGCCTGGGTGACAAAGCAAGACCTTTGCATCAAAAAAAATTAAATTAAAATTAAACATATTTTCTGTTCAGAAGGATCTTCCAGGTAAGTGGCCTGGCTTCCACAGTTTGTTATTTGAGAAGAAGAAAAGAAAAAAAAAGACTCTTGGAATCCAGTGGGAGGGAAAAGGAAGCACAGAAAGGGCAGGTCTAACAGAAATTATAGCCTTAGAAAGATATAATGGGTTTCAAAAAACTTATAACTCAAAACCTCAAAATTTTCCATTCCATACATTTTTCTATGGATTTTAGCTGGGATTTTTAGCTAAACAAAATCAAGAATAACTTTTTACCCAGGAAGGCTTTCCCAAGAGTGCGGAAAAAGCTGAGAGTTACTCTTTGTATTCGTCTTGAAGTTCTTTTTGGCTGGTTGTCAAAGATGAGTCAAGAGGCAAAAGCCTTAAGGAAATCAGGCTATAGGCAAATTACATATTTCATCAAGGAAGAAAATGTTTTACAGATTCCTATCAGTCCAATAACGCCCAATTATTGTGCTCTGCATGCCCATTGCCTAATAAGAGAATAAAATGCAAGAAAATTTACTGCAAGGAGTATTCAAAAGTATATAAATGAACAACTTGGGATTTCTCTGCAAAAATTTCAAGCAAATGTTAACAAAAATATAATCATTTTTATTCTCATCTGTCTACAACTATTTATATAAGAATGACTAAATCACTAATTGAGAGTGAATTAGCTTGTTTTAGAATACTTTGGATTCCTAAACAAAACTTTGAAATTTTAATTAAATATTATCTTTCATGTGATTCCTTTGCATTTTTCTCTTAGAGATCTACTACTAGTCTGGAGGGTGAGGGATTTTTTGTTTTTGAAGAAAAGCTAAAGAGCATGTTCATAAATTTTTTTTGCACTCGCTTACAAAGATAATTTCAACCATGTTTAGGGGCTCCAGAGTTGATGAATTGAGGACAGTTAAGACTAGCTACAGTCATGTTAATGAAGTAGTTGAACAGAGGAATAAAAACAAATTAAATAACATGGCAGATCCAATGTGGATTCAGTGGGAGACTCATTAGTCATATAATTTTAAAGCTACTGTGATGTCCCTTCAAAAAAAGAAAACCTAATATTAACCTTTATACAAAAACGTCTCCCATAAAGTGTGATTAATTTCCCCACATAAGATTTTTGGTGGCGTCATCATGACCTACTTGGATTGATGTGTATGTGATTCGCTTGATGTAATTGGTCAGCAGATTATCTGTCCTTTATAATTGGTATATCATGGCTTATTTGTAGAGAGGATCTTGGAAAACACTTTTTTTAAGGGTCGTTCATTCATTGAGCACCTTGTGTCCTTCCCAGAGAAATACATAGTTAACCTACATTAAATAATTTATTACTTTAAAATTATTTATTTTTGTTGCTTATTGTTTAATTTTATTAATTATTGCCTTCTTGATTACTCATAACAATCTTGTGAATTTATCTGAATATTTTGAACCACCCATTTATTGGGAAATCAATTTTAAATCTTTAAAACCACTCAAAGAAACAGATTTTCTGTGATTTGCTTTTAGAAATCTCTTTAACAATTATATAATGTTTCAAGTATTCTCATCAATTCATATATCCATCCATTAGTCATAAGACTTACTGAAGGCCGTGGTGTGCCAGGTTTTAAAAAATAAAATCACTCTACTTGAGTAGTCCTCAGGTCAATGCAGGAGACATATAATCTTGCCCAAGCAGTGTGACAATAATTTTAATGGAATAGAGTGACTTTACCACCATTTACCTTTTATCATACACACACACACACACACACACACACACACACACACACACACCACATCCTTTTCTTCATAGGAAAGAAGATGCATTTTCAAGTTGTGGGAAGAAAAAATAGCTTTCCTTGACCCTTTCTGATTGTCCCTTGAGTGGTAATTCCTATGGAACAAGAAAGACAGTGATTGAATTCAGCTGTGCTAATAGTTTTTGGCCTGGGACTGAAGCCTCTCTCTTCCTTTCCTTTCTATTTACAGTTTTAAAATTGCTCAACAATTTGACACTGTTCTTTAAAATTCTGAGAAATGAAAAGTGAAAACGGGGGGACAACATAGACAAACCAACAACATAGAGAAACCAGGTAAACAAATTTATTTAATGAGTTAACTTTATAAAAACGCCAAAGTAGCTAATTTTTAAAAAGTATAGCTAGTGTGGGAATGTGAGACACTGGGATGAATGTGTGGAAATATCTGAAATCACTTAAATTGTATCAGACATGTATCAATCTGCCTATTCTGCTCATTAGCAGAATCGGTCCTGTTTTGGGAATATCACCTACAGAAGAAGAAAGTCAATAACTGAACTAAAAAAAAATTGAGCAATAGTTGGAGGTGATTTATATTGTCATTTAACACCATGCCATAAGCTGCATTCTCAGTAGTAAAAAGCATTAGCAATAAAATATGGAAAGTAAGACTTTCTCTGCACTTGTGAAAAATAATCTAGAGAATACTAGCATATCAGTTAGGAAGACAACAATTCCACAAATATCTGGAATAACTGGTAATAACAAAATTTTTTTTAAAAATGAGGTCATAGAATTTGACTGGGATTAATCTAAAAAAATAAAACCTGAAAGAAATATAGTAACTTGCAAACAATTTACAAACTGTCATCAAAGTCCCCTGTGAGAAAGACTTCCATTTTCACTAATGCATACACATAAAAAGACAATATCCTTTCATACGAGTTTATACTAGATGATCACTGAAAATTTAAATAATCACTTCTTTTGAGAAAAGAGTTAACTAATGCAAAATAGAAATTACTTAGTTTTATAGAAAAATTGCATTAATGGTAATAGCTTGGAAATCCAAAATTCTGAAACACCCTATTATTTACTTTTGTTCACATAACTGTATATAAATGCATTTCTGTGCAGCAGAAACTGACATAAATAATTATTATCATGTAATTACATTAAATACAGATAATTTTTAATTCACTTTTTAAATATTCCCCAAAACTCTATCATCAGCATTCTGTGCTCCTCATTCTATGAATACTCTCCATGTAATTGTATTCACATATAATGTGTCTTAATCCATTCTAGTTGCTATAGCAAACACCAAAAACTGGTAGATTCATAAACAACAAACATTTAATCCTCACAGTTCTGAAAGCTGGGGACCCCAAGATCAAGGCTCTGGTGGATTTGGTGTCTGGTAAGGCCAATTCCTCTTAAAAGATCCCTTCTTGTTGTATCTTCACCTGGTACTAAGGGCAAAGAATCACCCCGGAGCCTCTTTTGTAAGGGCACTAGGCCATTCATGAAGACTCCACCCTCATGACCTAAATACGTCCCAAGTTTCCA